TCGCCGCCAGCAGCAGCAGCGGCCGCTGCTGCCGCAGTGCCAGCGGTGACAGCTGCATTAGCGGCAGCGGGACCAGGCAGCGGCTGCGGCCAGGTGGCACCGTACGCATGGCCATGGGAGCCCGGGGTGCAGGTGGGCCCTGCGGCACCGACGGCAGTGCCAGCCGCCGCCGCCCCAGCGGCGGCGGCAGGTGGCGGATCGTCCTGCAGCTGAACCTGCAGCCCGATTTCCAGCAATACGCAGCTCTGCGCCGCCGTCGCTCCGCCACTGCCGGTAGCCGACGCCGGAGGCGACAGCGGCGGCGGCGGCGGCAATACCGCCGCCGGCAGTGTCGCCAGGTCTGCCAGGTCGGTGCGAGTGAGATGCAGGAGCGCTTTGGGCGCGTGCAGGTGCAGGAAGGTGGCGGAAGACCTGCAATGTGTCAGTCGCGGGGTCGAGGATTCGGCGGTGATGAGGTGGGTGGGTGGGTGGGTGAGTGAAGAACAGCACATACTGCAACGGGAAGGCGTGGGGCGGCGGCAATGCTGCAGGAGAAGGAGGAGGAAGAGCAGGAAGAGACGGAAGCGAGGGACGGGATCCTGAGCGCGTTTCAGCTGCCAATGCCTTCGCGACTTGGGCCCTGTTCCTTCATGTACCGGATCCACACCAATCGAACGCTGCTGGATTGATCCAAGCGGGACACCCCCCCAACACAAACACACACACCCTCTCCCCTCAATCCCTAAAGACACACACACACATACACACACACAAACCCTACACCCCATCTGTAACGTGCCGGGCCCCGCCCCATACATGGCCGGGCTCCCCCCCCCCACACACACACAGCCGCCGGCCTCCCTCCCCCCCTCCACACACACACGCACAAAGCTCTCCCCATGCCGCCGCCATTACCCACTTCCGACATCGCTCATGGAAAGCCACGCTCCGAAAGCTGCTGCGCTCCTCCCAGGCACCGCCCTCGCCGTCAGGATCCGCCCAGCGGTCCTGCGCGTGCGTCGCCACGTGGCCCCACGCCTCCGAAACCAACTCCGGGGCGCTACCGACCCCCGGGTCGGCACACAAGTGGACGTGCAGGCCGCAACCCGGCGGCACGTGCCCAGGGCCCGTAAGCGGCCCGGCGTGGAGGTGCTGCATGTGATGAGGCTGATGATGGTGTGGGTGGTGCGGGTGGTGAGGGTGAGGGTGCGGGTGCGGGGGGGCATCCCAGGCAGCGGGCCGGCAGCTGGTCGCCGAAGCGTGGGGAGCTTGTGGCGGTGTGGGGCTGAGGCAGAGCAGAGATTTGCAGGTCCATGGAAGAGTTGAGGAGGAGGCGGCGGAGGCGGCGGCGGCGGCGGGAAGTGGCGTGTCTGCGGGGAACGAGTGCGGGACGGGACGGCCAAAGGGGGGACGAGGTGAGGGTGAGGGTGGGGGTGAGGGTTGGGGTTGGGGTTGGGGGTTGAGAACAATCAAGGTGACGGGGGAAGCTGGCTGATGCTGGTGTTATGCAAAACATGGGGTGCTTTACCCGGGAGAAATTAAATATTAATGTGTATTTCCCGTTTGTAATTTACAACCCCGCAAAACCTAAAACCTCAAAACCAACTCTACATCCGAAGCGCACTCCGAACCTTCCTTACCTGCTACTGCAGCACCGCCACTACCAGCGGAACAAGGGGATAACAGGCGCTGTTGCGTCCCACCGCCTCCGCCGCCTCCGCCGCCGACGCGCGCAGCTGTCTCGCCGCTGCCCCGCCGCGACCGGTGGTCCGCCCCGGAACAGACTTCCGCAGCGGCTGTAGCTGCGGCCGCGGCTGCGGCTACGGCTGTAGCTGTGGCGGGGGCCGTCCTCACGATCAGCAGCTCCACGACGCCTGCCGCCAGGTCCACCGTCGTCACCTGAAGGTGAGGTGAACGGCAACACGCGGGTAAATGCAAGCCAGGTCGAAAGCAGATAGGGGGATGTGGACCAACACAGGCTGTGCCCCTACCAGAGGTCGGGGCAAATAAGGCGGGTCCTGCGGGTCCGCAGTACCCGCAGCCAAAATTCGGCCTAAGGCCCCGTTAGGCTGCGGGTCCCTAATGACCGAAATATTTTAACCAAAAGAAGTGATTTGCGGCCCACAGGCCGTGTCCCCATACCTGCGACGGTATCAGGCGGTCCGTGGCGGGTGTCTGGTAGACGGTCAGAAGGGCCCGCGGCTCCGGAACCGCCGCCCAAGCCGACGGCGGCCAGTACGGCACCATACCCCCCCCCAGACGCCCTGGCTGATGTCCCCCAACAGGAAGCCCTGGAGCAACAGCAGCACCGTTCAGGTGGTGAAAGTGGCTGTAGTGGTGGTGGTAATTTCCGGATCCTGCCCAACCGTTGCCGTACAGCGACGGCGGCTGTGGCGGCTGCGGCGGCGGCGCCGCCTGGCCCCCAGCCGCGCCGTAAGCCTGACCCTGGTGGTTCCCGTGGAGTGCGGCACCGGAGGTGCCGTACACAAGCGTCGGAGAATGATGAACGCCGTGGTACGGGTAGTGCTGTTGATGTTGCTGGGAATGGCCGTGCGACTGGGGGTGCGCCTGGAACGCGTGGGCCGACGACCCATGGGTCACAGCCTCGACGGAAGGATGCGGTGGCGACACCACGTCCAGCGCAATGAACACAGGCGTGCCTGTCACCCACACGCCGCCCGTACGCGTACACCAAAAAAAAGAGGCGGGAGCAGGGCGCCAAAGCTTAAAAAGGGAACGCCGAAAAACCAACTACAATGGACAGGAGCCCCGGGAATAGGGCCGCGCACCGCGTCACTTTTCCTCCCAAGCACCGCCCGAACTGATGACACGCATATTTGATAGGCTCAAGGTGTCCATGGGATCGGATAGACATCAGCAGCGAATAGAAAGCATAGGTTGAACGCGGGGAGGGAAACCACGGGAACCAGGAAGGAGAGAATGAGAGAGAATCGACTGCCGGCAGACGTCTAAAAGGCAGCGGCGGCGAGGCAGCGGTAGCGGAGGAGGATGAGCGCGGCGTGGTGAGGAAACGAATCGCGGGAGGCGAGGGCATCTGGCCCTCCCGCGGGAGGCGGGGGGGAGATGGCGCGGCGCGGCACACGTTGGATGATGCGGTGTGAGAGGAGAGCGCGCACACTCCATGGCATGTGACACGTGGCACGAGGCCTTCCACTTCCGTACGTAAATTTAAACACTGGTGGTGACCGGCAATAAAAGTCAATAAAAGGGAACAGACACTCTTGAAATCTGAGGTAAGGTAGATTCTTCCTCGGGTAACTGGAGCCCATGTGCTTGCCTGGGGGCCTCGACGGCACCGACGACGACGAAGAAGCAGCCGTGGCTTGTGAAGGCAGCGGAGAGGAGGAGGAGGCGGAGGCGGCGGGGGGACCCAGCGCCAGCAGCACACACACGTGGGGCGCTACGAGGGTCATTGACAGGCGGGGTAGGGGCCCCGAGTTGAGTCGGGGTACGCGCGGGGCCTGCAGGGCAGGGCAGGGCGAGAACACGAGGGCAGGGCAGGGCAGGGCAGGGCGAGAACACGAGGGCAGGGCAGGGCAGGGCGAGATCAGGGCAGGGCGAGAACACGAGGGCAGGGCAGGGCAGGGCGAGATCAGGGCAGGGCGAGAACACGAGGGCAGGGCAGGGCAGGGCGAGATCAGGGCAGGGCGAGAACACGAGGTCAGGGCAGGGCAGGGCGAGATCAGGGCAGGGCGAGAACACGAGGTCAGGGCAGGGCAGGGCGAGATCAGGGCAGGGCGAGAACACGAGGTCAGGGCAAGGCCAATAACGGGCGGAGCAAGAGGGCCTCGCTCAGGAGCTTTCGAGCAGGGTGAGGAAAGCAGCGCAGGGCACGATGTCATGTTCAAAGGATAAAGCACCAGCCAGGTTTTCACAAGACTGAGCAGGACAGGACATTTAGACAGGACAGGACAGGACAGGGGAACGTCATTTAGGCACAGACAGGGGCACGGACAAAGGAAAGGGCAACGCATTTCATAAAGGTCATGTCATAGGTCACGGCACGGAAGGGTCGTCATTCATAAGGGGAGCATACTAGAAAGTCCACAAGACCCCCTAGCGCTACTTACAACATCATCAAAACACACACACACACACACACACTCGTTCCACACAGGCCCCACACAGGCAGCAGGCAAAGACCCCCCGCGAAAGTGAGAGGGCTGGTTTGGCTCACGTGGGGGTGTTGACGGTGGGTCTTTTGTTGTTGACCATCATTTGTCAGCCTGTACGGCTCCGCCGCCGCCAGCGGTGCCACAAAATCCATTACCCGCTGCACCAGCGGTAAGGAGACCCACACCGTGACGGGAAGCACCTCCACCGATAGGTCGTACCACGGTACGGCTGGTACAACTTCGCTGCCGTACCGTTCGTAGCCCGCGCCGACAGCGCCTGTTGAAGCTATCTTGCATTCGGCAGCAGCGGCGGTGGCGGCGGCGCCGCCGCCCCAGGCCGCGTGCACGCGCAGGCAGCCACCACCATGGCCTGATGTAGCCGTGGCGGCGGCGGCGCCGCCGCCGACTGGACGGTTGCCTGCCGCCTTGCCTGCAGTACAGCCATGCCCAGCTGCATGCAGATGATGCTGTGCTTGCGAATGCGGATTTGCAGATGTCGCCGCTGCGTGCCCACCCGCTGGTGAGTGCGTACTTGCGCACATGAGAATCGGCCATGTTTGCAACGCACCACCACCACCACCATTCCCGAAGCCGGTAGCCGCGGCAACCTGTGCATTGTGTCCGGGCGGTCGCATCATCACCATCCTGGATCCGCACCCTGCGGCAGAAGAAGCGGTTCCGGAGCCCCCCGACGGGCGCGCCGGCCCGGGCTGCGTGTGGCGAAAGCGGTGCGGCGCCTGCGGCAACACCTCCGGCACCCGGACCCACTCCGCCGGCGTCATGCCGTACTTTGCGCCGACCGCCGCCGGCAGCTGCTCGTACATTTGTAGATGCCCTGCCTGAAGCAACATGGAGTTACCGCGCGCCGCATCCATCAGGACGTCGCAGGTGAGGTCCTGAAGATCAACCACTAAGCTACCTGACGCTCCAGGGTGGTTGGCGGCGCCGCTAGCATGCGCGGCGGCGCCGCCTTTGCGTGGTTGCGCCGTGGCAGCTGACCCCGCCACGGCGGGCGATGAGCATGACGATGCAGAGGACAGCTTGTAGCATAGCACAAAGGCTGCGTGTGATACGTGCGCGCGGACGCTAACCACTGGCGGCGGCGCCCGCGGGGCTTCTGAGGCCGCCGCCGCCGCCGCCGCGGCGGCGGCAAATGCCGCCGCCACCGTTGCAGTAACCGCCGGAGGCGGCGGCTGCAGGTCACCCGCCGTCCGCGGCAAAGACGCCTGTGACTGGTATTGTTGGACGTGCGTCGCCGCCGCCGTCACCGTCGTGGTGGCCGCCGCCGCCGCCGCCGAACCCATCCAATCCATCGTGGTGCTTCCCCCGGCCGCCACGTAGCCCAGCAGGTTCGTTCCTGTCTGTGTGACGCTGCTGACCAGGCTGCTAGCCAGGGATCCAAATCGGCTACAGGCGTCATGGAACTCGCTCGCCTCACCGTACGATGCGTACGGCTCCAGGGAATGCGCCACGACGCCCTCGCAGTTCGGCATCATGATGGATTCGAACAGCGACGGACGGCCCCAGTGCCCTCCGCCGCCGCCGCCGCCAGCGGCGCTGTGCATGGATGCCGACGTGGAGGGGTACGGCGACCCCCACAGCTCCATCCCGCCACCGTCAGGCGCCGTACCTGCCACCGCGTCAGCTGCTGCTCCTCCCTGACGGTCTAGGACTGCCTTAAGCGCGGCCAGGCACACCGCATGGCTCGGTAGGAGCTGTAGTCGTACGGCACCCAAATGGAGATCAGCCGCGATTTGGGTCGGCTGGCCAGGCTCATCGGGGAGCACCATGCGCAACTCCACGCTCAGCTGCAGACCGTGCTTGCCCGGCCCCGAAACCAAGGTCACGCCGGCAGCGGCGGCGGCGGCGGTAGTAGAGGCGCCTGCCGTCACCCCGGCCCCTGACGGCGGCGACGACACCACCTTACCGGCCGCGGTGCTGGCTGCGGCAGTGCTCGCACCTGTTAACAGCGGTGCTGTCTCCAGTAAGTCTAGAGATAGCCCCTTGACATGAACGTACTTGGCAATCTCCCGTCGACTTGCTGTTGCAGCAGCGCCGCCAGCCGCCGTTGGCGAGGCCCCTGACATGCCGCCGCCGCCGCCACCATCGCCAGCGCTCCCCGGCCGCGCCGACGAGCCCCGCTGGGCCTTATGATGCAGTACCTGGCTATTGTTCCGGTGGTCGTTGGCATGTTGGTGAGGGTGCTGCTGTGTAGCGGCAGGGCCGGCGTGAGAGCCGGCTGGCCGGCTGGATAGGTCACCGAATTCCACTAAGTCGAGCTTCAGCGCGGCCGTGACGATGCGGGCCTTTTCTGTGGGGTGCGGCAGCTCTACCCTTATAAGGACGTTGGATGCTTCCACGCGCATGTGCTGTAGCAATGATTGCAGGCTGCCAGCAATTCGCTTAATGCCGTCCATGACCGCGCCCTGCCCCGTCCAGCCGAAATCGTCTGCGAGGAGAAAATTTATCGCGCTGGAAGCGCTGCTGGACTGAGCAGTTGGCTGCGCAGGCGGGCTTGGCAAGGGATTGTCCTGGGGGAAGGCTGTGGCCGGTTTGTTGAGGCAATCTGGCGTAGCCCCTCTGGGTGTGAAAGACGCTCCGGCTGCCACAGGTGACGCAGGCGCGACCGTCAGCATGACTTCGTTCACCACAACGCTGCATTGGCTGGCTGATGAGAATAGCGAAGGCAGCTTGGCGTTGACGCTTCCCACATAGCCGGCTTTGACAAGCCATCCGTCCAACGCCTGGCAGGCACGACGATAGAGAGGCACGGGGGAAGCTTAGCCGAAATGGACTTGAAAATTAGTAAAGCGGCGAAGCCAGCTGGGCACCCTCAACGCATAATAAAGGGAAGGTACTATGCTTGGGCCCATGGTACCTAGACAGCATGTCAGTAACACTATTCAACCTCGTATCCGACGCCCAGGGGCGCAAAAAAGTAGCCTTCGCTGGAAAGAATGAAAGAGCCCCAAAACTACGCTTGAAAACCATGTCCTCGTGTGTATGATAAGGGTTGCCGCGTCGGCACGCCCCTTTCGCGACCTAAACAACACACAGCCACAATTACACGCACCAAGTCCTTATTCACAGCATCGCAGTTCAATAGGAGATTCTTGAGCTCAAGCTTCCCTGTGTCGAGCTTGACGTCGAGCTGCTCGAGGTCAATTTCGGAGGTTAGGTACTTGCCCACGTTGCGCTTCAAGACGAATTTCAAGAAGCGCTTGAGCAGCCAGTCTGTGGTGCCTAGCATTTCAGCTATCACTGGCAGAGGTTCAGCTGTGAGCTTACAAAAAGGGAAAAAGGCCAATTCTCTACCCTATCCACTCTGCCTCGACGCTCTCATAGCTCAGAGGTACACTGCCATCTATGTACGCGCGCCGTTTTATACATGCAAACTTGTTTCACCCAAACGGCAGTTGCTATTAGGGTTCTGGCTGGAGCGTATGCCGTCAAAATCGGGCGGACAGGAACTTATGTTACAAAGAATATGTTAAATTGTATCTTCGCTTTTCCACATAGTTGGCAGGATTCAGGCTGATGTCCTTGTCAGATGTGCAGCATGAGTTCCAGCTGTTTGATGTAAGAAAGCTGTCGTGCAGATACAGGGTTTTTCTGCATGCCCTGCAAGCAGTACGTCGACAGATTTGTATCTGCTATGTGCTTTGTTGCAGAAAACATGGAGATTACGCCAAGCGTGTTAAACGGCCAGGCCTTTGCCACAGCAATCCTTGAAGCCTGAGGTGCATGGCTTCATAACTTTCTCTGCAGTCCTCAGGGTACCTGTCATAACAATTACCGTGCTTCACTGCAAACTATGGGTGACCTTGGCGTTGACCTTGAGGACCTGAAGGAGAACAGGTTTGCGCACCTTCTGAAGCCCATCCGTGACCTGCAAGATAGCTTTAACGTTAACTTAGCACATGAACTTGAAGAATACCTGGAACAGCTCGAAAATGCGCAGTTCGCCTTCGAGGGCGCCCGGCACGTCATGGTGGACTTTGCCGAGGCAGCCCTCGTCATCCAGGCCAGCACCATGGTGTTCTCGAAAAAGGTGGAACATCTATACAACCTGACATACCAAGCCATCGAGGCGGTCAAAGGGCGGAGACGGCAACCTGGCCAGGGTGAACTACCCGATGGGGACAACCCTACACAGCAAGCAGCAGGCCCACGGGGGCGCGCTGCGCGCGTTGCCCATGAGTACGAGGAGGACACCTTGGAGAACGTTTGGATTACGGAACCCTTCCTGGAAGAAGCCGATGACATCGACCTGGCGCACGGCGACGACGTAATGCCCACTGCTGGCGCTTCCATACGCCCGCCCGCCCTACTACTAGCTTTGGATGATCACGGACAGGGAGCCGCGAGCACTGGCGGCAAGGGCGACGGTGACTCTGGCGTGTACCGGCTGCAGCAGTGCTTTGTGCACTGCTCCGGGGCATTGCTTCTCGACCCACGTGACGGCGATCTGTATGATATCAAGCTCAGGTGGGAATCAACATCCCGGCAGCATCTCCTCCATTAGCCCTTGGTTCCATCGCAACCAACAATCTTGCCTTGACAAGATCCGCAGCTCCGCAGAAACAAAATATCCTCAATTGGTATTTATCTAATCGCTCTTCGGTTCACCTCAGCCAGCAACCCCATCCACCCAGCTGGCTGGCTGGCCGGCTGAGCGAGATTCTCCTTACAGCGGCTGCCTGACGCTAGCTAGGGCCGGTCTAGGTGCTGGGCTGCCACCACGCGCACACCGCTACATTTCACTCCCGCCACCCGCCGAGCTGGCAATACAGCTATCCGCTACTTTGCCTGTGGCATTATGCCATGCACGGCATGGCCAACTCTATCTCGCCTATTCATTTGTAGGAAGGCCCCACTCGGTGGCTACTACTAGCTATAGGTAGTATCACCATCGGATTGCCTGGGCCGCGCCACTACCCGGCCTCCTGCAGATTCATTGGGCTCCAACCCAAGCACGATAAAGGCCTGGAGCAGCTGATTGACGCGCACCGATGGGAGCAACCCACCCAGCGGATGCAGCAGCCAGCCACACAGCCTCACATGCCCGGCCCTGCGGCGCAGCAACCGGCGGTTGCGGCAGCGCCGGGGCAAGACCTGGGCGTGGCCATGGATGTAGACCCAGGGCCGGTCGCGGACTACAATGACGATGACGATGGGGGTGGGGGGGGTTACGCGGGCGGAGGCGACTGGCCGAGCGACGATGAGGGCGTGCCAGGCGCGGCGGCGGCTGAGGGTGGTGCGGATCCGTTAGCAGCTGCTGCAAAAGCGGCAGGGGCAATCCCCTCAGCCGGTGAGAGGTGCCTAATGTGCTGCGAAAGAAGGAGCTAAAGGGTTGCGGGGGATGCGTTTCGGGGGTAGCCAATGATGACGCCCTCTGCATGAATTTGTTGGCAAAGGCATTGCGCTGTGCCAGCTTATAATGGAAAAAAGATAGGAAATGGGTCAGGGCCTGTCTCTGTTGTCCGACTACCCTTCTTCATAACTTCAGGTTATGAATAATATGAGGGTCAGGGTCTGTCAGGGCTGTGTTCTGTTTCGCCATCGCTCTTACGGCATAGCAGACGGGTCGAGCAAGTGCGTGTGTGCATGTATGTCTTCTTCCCTCGCGTGTCTCGCCCTCAAGGAAAAGTCCGTCGCGCGGCATGCGGGGGCATGGCATGGCATGGGGTCCTCACGGCATTCCCTATCCATGTTTCTCGCCACCAGGAGACCGGGGGGATGAATCGTCGTCTGGCACTGTGCGCTCTCTGCAGCACTTGCATCTTCCAGGAAAAGCATAATCTTTCCTCTCTCTCGCGCGTTCTTTCCTATCTTCACGGGCAAACAAAGATTGGGTCACGGGACGTCGCTCCATGCATCCTGTCGGGGCCCCCTGCGGCGGCACGCAGGTACCGGCGCGCCCGCCGTCACGGCAGAGTACGCGGAGGGCCAGTCCCAACAGCGGCAGCAGGTAACGGCATCCGCGGCGGCGCTGACAACGGGCGGGGCTGTCGGCGGCACGGTGTCCATGGGCGGCGGTTGCGATGGCCACCAACCAGGAGGAGAAGGAGAGGAGGACGACACGGAGGAGGAGATTTTTGATCCGTACAAGCCTCTGGACCCGTCCGCCAAGAGCCGTTTGCCCGACCGGCCGCTTGTGGTGAGTCTGTCTGCCTGTCTTCTGTCTGTCTTCTGCCTGTCTGTGACGTCAGGACTGAGACATACAGACTCACCAGTCGGTGGGGTGTGGAATAGGAAGATCGTAGGAAGAAGGAGTAAAAGGAAGGAAACGGAAAGAAGGATATAGGGAAGAAACGCAACGGACCCGGCGCAAATGTGCATCTATGAGGAGGACACGCACTTTAGGAGGTTGCGTTGCGTGCGAGACCGAGCTCGAGCTCCCCCGTCCAAGCAAGCCAACTTGTTCTCGCGCCCCTTCCTTCCTTCCTTCCCTGCCCACGGCTGGCACAACTCCGTTGCCGATGATGCCTTGCCGTTGCCGTTGCCACACGGCGGCGGCGAGGGTTCTCGTACAGGTTCGCCGGCCCCGTCGGACGCAGCGGACTACAGCAGCTGGAAAAGCGGCCGCTGTTGCCGCCACCGCCGCCTCCGGGGCGTCCCAGCTGGGCAGTGGTTCCGCGGCTTGGGCCAATGCCGCCGCGACTGGCGGCCTGCTGTTGCCGGAGTTCGCGTACTGTCTAGCTTTCCTTCGGCCGCCGGCTGCCCATGCCGCCGCCACCCCAGCAGCAGCAGCAGTGCAGAAGGACGGGACGCGGGGGTTTGTTGCGAAGAGCTGTCTCAAGAACCAGCTGGGCAAGGTTGTCCGACAGGAGCTGAACGGCGTGGTGTTTGACGCGAGCGATGCTGCTGCAGCAGCAGCAGCAGGTGGGTCGTGAAAACGGGGGGGACAAAAGAGGGGGGGCGGACGAGAGGCGGGAGCAAGCGGGCCAGTGGTTTAAACTGGGGCGGTAGGACGGGGGCCCCTAGGTCTGTGAGGTGGAGTTTGTGGCGGGTTGGAGGCGGCTTGAGCGAAGCGGGTGGGAGGGTGAGCGGGGCGGATGGGCTTGCTGTGGGTGAAGGGTAATATGTCGATGGTTGGTTGGTGCCATAGGATCAAAGTGAGGATGAGGGAGGCGGAGGGGGAGGGGGGCGAGAGGAGGTGCACCTACCCCTCCCCTACGACCGCAGCTTCCCCTGGAGCTGTGTGACAGCAAGGGGGTTCTCACAGGGGGGTTCCCTTAGCCTGCACGGATATGATTTTTACCAGCTTTCCCCTTTCCATCCCTACCAACCCTCGATTGTTGCTCATCGCTTTTGGCTCCTTCGGCAGTTTCTGGCAATGGGGACAGTCGTACGTCAGTCGGTAGTCGACCCCCCTTCCTTTGCTTCTTGCGACATCCTGAAATCCTTTGTTTGGCCGTATCACTGGCGAGTGTCTCTTTCCCCCACCCCCAGCCGCAGCCATCATGTCTGAGTCGCCTGTCCCTCCTCTTTTCCTTTAACCCTGAAATAAAACCCTCTCATCCCCCCTCCCCAACCCCCGGGGGGATCAAAAACCAAACAGTTGCCGCTGATGATGATGCTCCGGAACCGCTTGGGGCGCAACCGTATCCCAACTTCGACGACTTTGACGACGATGACGGAGGCGGCGGTTTCGGAGGAGGCGGAGGTGGCGGTGCATCCGACCTGGACGATGACGTGGGCCCGTTGGCGGCGGCGGCCGGCGCTGGCGGCTACGCCGGGGGTCTGGCGGGTGCCTGGCACAATCCGCCTGGCATGGGTGGTACTGCGGATGATGAGGCGGTTGGTGAGCAGCCCGGCGGTGGCTGGGGCTTCCTGGGTGGCCGGGTGCCGCCGATGGGGCGCCTCTGTGGCAGTGAGGACGGCATGGCGTTGGATGGAGAGGAGCCCAGCTACGAGGAGCTCTGCAGGTTGGTGTGCATGTGTGTGTGTGCATGTGTGTCTGTGTGTGTGTGTGTGCATGTGTGTCTGTGTGTGTGTGTGTGCATGTGTGTCTGTGTGTCTGTGTGTGTGTGTGTGTGCATGTGTGTCTGTGTGTGTGTGTGTGTGCATGTGTGTCTGTGTGTGTGTGTCTGTGTGTGCATGTGTGTCTGTGTGTGTGTGTCTGTGTGTGCATGTGTGTCTGTGTGTGTGTGTGTGTGTCTGTGTGTCTGTGTGTGTGTTGAAGCGTGTGCCGGGAAGCGAAAGTGTGATTTGTGTTTAGAGGGACTAATTGCTGCAGGACTCTCCGACGCGGTGGAGTGGGGGTAACTGGGGACGGGGGGAAATGGAGGGGAAGTGGCAAGACCGGATGGTTTCGGAGTAAGGGGATGTGGGGTAGAGTGGAAGTGGACAGCAACACAGCGGGGGGGGGAAGGGACGGAGTGGGGAGTGGATTAAGGAGCTGTGTGTATGCGTGTGTATTTGTTGCATACCTGCCTCACCTGACGTTGACCGGTGCACCTAACCGTGCCGTGTGTGTGTACGTATGTATGTATGTATCTATGTTGTGGGGTTTGAGCAGGGGATGAAGTCATGGCGCATTGGACCGGACTGTCTGTCCCCCATCAGACATGTATCTATATAATTAATTTATTTGTATAGATTGGAGAGGCCGAATCGGTGGATGCGCTTCTATTCCGGCTTCTCCGGTTCCCTCTCTCTCCGCCTCCGGGTGCTCCTTTTGTCTCCATCACCCCCTCATTGCTGTTCACTGTTGCGGCTGCTGCTGCTACAGCTGCTGCTGCTGCTACGTCTGACAGTTACTTGCCACTCCTGCTACTGCTAAAAGGGCTGCTATTCATATTGCTGCTACTGCCACTGCGCTACTGCCGCTCAGGGCGCGTATGGAGTCCCTTCTTCAGGCTGCAGCGGCTCGGGAGGTGCAGAGCGACTTGTCTCGCCGCGTGGGCAGCTGGCGGCAGCGGATAGACCCCGTCCTTAAGGTGCACATCTTAATTGTTTTGATGTTTTTTGACTGAGGCTGAGTCGCGGCCAGGAAACGTGCCTGCGTGTGTGTATGTATGTGTCCGCGTGCGTGTGTTTGTATGTGTGTCTGTATGTGTGTGTGTGTGTTTTGGGGATTGGGTGCGTTTCCTTGAAAGGGTACGATGGGGTGCAGGTGGTGCGGGAAGGCCGTGTCCTTGTGCAGGGTTGTTAGTTTGGGGTGGGTGGGTGAGATGCTGTTGGAGAGGGATGGAGGTACGTCCTACGTAGGTAGGTCCTCAAGAATTGTATGTGTACGCGCACGCACACACGCGCGCGCGCGTGTGTGTGTGTGTGTGTGTGTGTGTGTGCACGGGCCGGGATACCCCCAAAGGCATTGAAGGCTCCTTCTTCAGGTAGGCAATAAATAGGTCTGAAAACCATTCAGTTATCCCAACACCCCCACCCCCAACTCCAAACCGCCCCAACCAACTGCTCCCAACCCCCTCCGGCACCTGGTACTTGAGAGACGTAGAGACAGTGGTCCCTTTTTGACTTTTGTATTCTCGTCACACCATGTAAATCCCCCATCCTCTTCCTATGCATAAAAATAACCTCAACCGCCCTTTCCCCCTGATACACACACGCTCTCTCTCTCTCACACACACACACACACACACGCGCGCGCGCGCGCATGCTCCCCGGCTGTAAATATTCCCTAGGCGGAGGAGTCCCGGCCCGCCTTCGACATCCAAAACTACGGCGAGCTCATCATTGGCCGTCTGTCCGAACTTCAGGTGGGGCAAGATGGTCGAGAGGGAGTGTGTGCGTATATGTGTATGTGTGTCTGTGTGTGTGTCTGTGTCTGTGAAAACGCGTATGTGAAGCCTAAAAGTCAAACGTTATCCTGTGTGAAGCCTACACGAAGCTCGTATGAAGTCTGAGCTCTACTCTACGAAACCCTAAGTCATCTCCAATCCGACGATCTCCGCGCCTGTCTGGATACGGGATTAGGGGGGCATTTCGGTCCCCAGCATGCAACTCCAATGTCATGGGACGGGTTGGGGTGGGATGGGATGCAATGGAATGGAATGGAATGGAATGGGGGGGCTGGGATCCGATGGGATGGGTACAGATGGGATGGGAGGCGGGGCGGGGTGATGTAATGCGAGGTGATGTGATGATGCAAAGCGATGTGTGATGTGGGCGCCATGCGGGGCAGCTCGCTCCATGGGCACGGCTCCTGCGCCGTTGGGGACCACAGCGCCGTGTGACCTTGCCTTGCCGGGACCTCTTTTGCTGCGCTGTGCTGCACGCAGCTATCGGACGGCGGCACCGGCTCGCAAGGCGGCAAGGAGAATGAGGAGGAGGGGGAGGCGGGCGGGCAGGAGGTCCTCCAGAGGCCGGAGCAGCGGACAGTGGTGACGGGAACGCGAACGGCAGCAGCAGGAACAGCAGCAATAGCAGCAGCAGCAGCAGCAGCAGGGGCCGCGGCTGCGCGTCAGCGTGTCCAGTTCTCGCAGGTTGCTGCGGGCCTGGAGAAGTTTGAGGTGTCACGCATGTTCTCCGCCATGTTACAGCTCATAAATAACAGGTGGGTGCGATGATGGGATTCGTGTGTGTGCGTGCGTGTAGCAGGGGAATGTAGGTAGGATCGTTGATGTCACCCCCCCACCCCTCCCCAAGTTGTTATGGTTACCTCTACCCACCGGGAGATGCCCCACTCTGTAACCCCCTCTACTCACCCCTCTACTCATCATCTCTCACGCGTCTGTTTGGCCATGCTCTGCATATATATGGGTTCTTTAGGGCTCCGTCGCAGATGGCGCTCTCGCACGGGGGCTGCACATGTGTGCCGGGATGTGTGCTTGATTGAACTGATCTGAGCCGTGATACGGCAATAAAGTGACGAAGTGTACACACACATGCATGTGTATGCGTGTGTATGTGTGTATGTGAGCACAACAGGAACCTGGCCATCTACCGGGCAGATGCTGCGGATATACCTTCCGGTGAGGTTCCGGACGAGCCGCTGGCGCTGGAGCTGCTCAGCCGGGACCTGTACCACAAGACCATGGGCACCCGGCTGGCGCTGCCACGGCAACAGCCGAAGCAGCAGGTGGCAGCGGGCGGGAGGGGCTTGGTGATGGGGATGGGATGGAGTCCCGTGCACGTGCATGTGCGCGAGCGTGACAACACAGACATTGCATTCATCCACAATGGCCATTCCGTTCATCAACACAAACACACACACTCTCTCGCGCGCGCTCACTCTCTCTCTCTCTCTCTCACGCGCACACACACGCACACATCCAGGTTTTCCTGGCAAACCCAGGCGTATAGACACATACAGACAGACATACATCCAGACGCGGCCGTCCCGCTCACGGATTATAGACTAGTATATGCCTCTCTATCCCAACTCTTCAACTTCTCACTCCTTCCCCCCTTCCCTGTCACCGCCCGGCCCCTTCCCCCCTCCCCACGCCACACGCGCACACACACAAACGCAATCTGTCTCCACGTAACACGTAATAACTTCTGTACCACGTCAGGCTGGGGCCGCCGCCGCCGCCGCTGGGGAAAATGGCGGCGCTGAGTTTATCTTCTCCGAGGAGGACGATGAGCGGGAGCACCTCCGCGGCACGCAGCCGGCAGCTCGCGGCAAGGCGGCGCGGGCAGGGCGGCAAGGGCCCAAGGCGGGCGGGGCCACCAAGCAACCCAAGCGGGCCAGACGAGCTGCAACAGCGGAGCAGCAGCAACAGCCCACAGCGCACAGCGACGTCCTTATGGAGGACGACTAAGACTGATCCTGACTTGATCCTTTAGCCACAGCTCAAGGACAACCCATTCGCCAAACCTTTTTTTTTTTGAAAAAGGCACCTTCGCGCCTCGGTTGTGTGCGCTGCTGGATATGTGTATGTGTGTGTGGGGGAGGTGTTTAGGAGGGTTTTGTGTGGCTGAACTCCTTAAAAATCCTAAAACCCTGGAGGGCGTTGCGTTGCGTCGCGTTGATTGCCCCTGAAACCCTAAAGCTCTTTGTCATAGGTGTACTGATGGGACAGAGGGATCGCTCTCGTGAATCCGTGCCGTGCTGCGCCGCGAGCGCACATGCCGCCATGCACACGGGCTGGGAGGAAGGAAGAAGAAGAAGAAGAAGAACAAGCAAAAAAACAAACCCTAAGCCTGAACGTGTCGAGCGTGTATGTGTGTGCGTGTGGGGGGAAGAGGGAGGCTTTTGGTGCGCTCGGAGCTGAGAGAGGTATCACATTGGTGTGAGGGTTCATTAGCCGCGGTGGCTGCTGGTGTGCTGGGTTACGGTGCTGCTGCTGATAGGCACCGCCACCACCGTTGTCACCACTACCGAAGACTGCCGTACGCCACTGCGTTATATACTGTTATTACTTTAAACCCGACACACGGAAACACACGCAAACGGAGGGATAGAAGGAAAGAAAGCTGGTTCGAAGTGTTTCGTTTATAGTTTGGGAGATTGAGATTTTAGGAGGCGTCTCAAAGGCGGATTTTCCAGCGGGGTCGTAGCCGAACAGTAGCATAGCACATCCCCTTTCTTTTACACACATCAGGCAGTGGTTCCTTTTCATCACGACCGTTGTGGAGGAAAGGACACTGCCTTGCAGCAAAGAGGATATATTGCCAACGAATGATACGTTGGCTCGCGCCGCATCGTTCAAGTCTTGTCTCGGGTTCTCTTGTTACTGCTTGGCAACCCCCCTGGCGGCCGCCGTCGAAGGGAAATATATATATACCTAGGCAGGAGCCAGCACACACGAAAGCACCGCCACACAAGGAAACTCCCCAAACACGTCCCATTGAAGCCGCTTCCAGCTCCGTTCCCGTAAAATCCTGGGATCCCCCTTCCTTCTTCCCTCCCCCCACCACCACACACACACCTCCTTCCTTCCCGTTCCTTCTATACATACTGCTCCCTGGACACCGCTACCATAGCACACACACAACACGCCGCAACATCATACCTCCCCCTCCGAACCCAACGCACCTCCCCCCACCTCCCCATCCGAACCCAACGCACACACATATACACAAAAAAAGCAGCCCGAGGGTGCCACCGCAAAACCACAACATGGCATACGTGAATTTCACGAAGATTCGAAACCATGCGAAGGATAGATGAGTGAAGATTAAATCTGTTATGGCCGTCATTTCTTCTTATGGTAGGAGCTGTTCCATATACCGCCGTCCTTGGCGTAATAGTCCATAGGGTAGGGCGCGAACGCCAACGTGTCAGCGTCAGCCGGGTCGTTGGCGCGGCCGCCTCGGCCCTCGCCCTGCTGCTGCTCGCGCAGCGGCGCCGCTGCCGCCGCCTCCCACCACCCCGGCACCACCCCCAGCGCCACGACGGCCTCGTACGGCGTCAGCGTGGGTCGGGAGAACCCCTCACCCCAGTCTATGGACAGACGCGGGCAGGCAATCTGCAGGGGGCCCCGTGTGAGTGTATGTATGTATGTATGTATGTATGTATGTATGTGTTGTGTCTTGCATGAGGCAATGCGGGGGCAGCGGAAAGGAGGGAGGGCTCAAGGAAAAAATGCCGTGTTGGATTCGAACCCGCCCCCTCACGTGTTACGACAGATGACAAAATGTACGGTAACTAAAGTTCGTGCGGTAAGGAAAAACGGCTTCCACGGGCTTGCGGCGCACTAATAATAAAGAAAGACATCTCTAGGCGGGATGGGCAACTCCGTAGCTGTGCGACGCTGGATGCAACGACCCCCAACTGTCTTATAAGAGCTGCTCACAGCACAGAACTTAAAAAAAGTAGAAACTTAAAAACCGCTCAAGTACGAACCCACCTGAACGAATGCGTCAACATCCGGCAGCATGGCTAGTCGGGGGGGAGACACCTGACCACGTTAGACAACAACCCCCGGGGTGGGAGAGGCCGAGGGGCGAGAGAGAATTCATATGCATTCATTTAAGGGAAGGGTTAAAGGACTAGAGGTAGGTCGAGGGAGGAGACGGAGGAGGAGGGGAGTGAAGTTTGGGGGAAGTTTTTTTGGGAGAAATGTTTTAAGGAAAAGGGACATGAATAAGAATACGACACAGGCCTAATATGAGCACAATAAAATTACAAAAAAATTAAGTAATTGTGAAGCTGTTGCCAAAATGAGGAAATTGAGGACATAAGGTTA